GGAGCCGCCGCCGATTGGCCGAGCCCGGGTTGGTACCGCCTTCGACGACCCCGCAAGCCCCGCCCATATTTAAAGATCCCACATTCCCCGGGGCCCCCTGCAATCCCCCAGCGTGCTACTGGACCTCGAACTCCCCCTCTTGCCCCGTGCGACGGAGAGGACCTTGGTGAATCTCCAACCGCCACCCCCAACAGCCCTCCGGACCGCCTAACTATACCCCCTCCCCAAAATTAGGTCCCAAACTTCAGGCACTCTGTCAACCTTTGCAGCTCTGTCAACCTTTGCACGCCTGGGACCGTCCTCCCCGTTAGCATCAGCTGTAAGACAACTTAGCAAAGCGACTCAATGCCTGCCCCTCAAACGACCTCCTCCGGGGTCTAGGTCTGCACAGGGGAGCCTTGGCGGGATTAGGGTGATTGTAAGTGCGGGGGGTGCCTGGGAGCCCTGTGTAGGGGCTTCCAGGGGTAGGACTGGGTACATGCTGGGGCACTCGGTTAGAGGCCACCTTCTCTGGAAGGAAAGATGCCCGTCTGGATCAGGCCACCCAGTCCTAACCCCCAACACCCATGCCCAGGATGACAGGAAGCCGGAGCCCCAGGGAGTTTGGGATCACCAGGGCTGGGGGTCCCCAAAACAGTGCTCCTTCCCCCAGCACCCAGGCTGAACTTGGCCGACTCATTCATTAAAGTTAATGGCGGCTCCAGGGAGCCTGGGGGATCAGTGGGTAGGGAGCTCTTCCTTCCTCCTCTTCCAGACAGTCTTACTGCCTCTGCCTCTGCCTCACCCTGTTCCCACCAGGCTTGAGGTGACTGTGTTCAGTTCTGTCCCCCACCAGCCTGGGGGTTTCCTGGAGCCAGCAGATCCCACCCCCCTATCTCTCTCCCACACCCTCCATCTGTTTTCTTCCCAGCCCAGAGCTTTGGCCCAGGTCAGGAACATCTGAGTGTTTATTCCTGAGGGAGGCTGGTCTTCTGTGTTTCCTCTGCGGAGCTCAGAAAACAGTTGGACAGAATGAATGAAGGAAGGAAGGAATGCATGAATGAGGGATAGCTGCCGGGGTTGGGGGTGGCGGTGAGTCACAGAGGGGCCAGGTGATGGCTCAAAGTTGCAGACAGGACCTTTGTTCCCTCCCGGAGAGCCTGTTCCTCATCCCAGCTTGTTCAGACTGCTCTGCACAAGGCCTGGCCGTGGTGGCAATGCCCAGGGCTGTGACAATCAGGAAAGAGAGGCCTGGGTGGTCCCAGTCATATCCACAGAGGTACCAGGCAGGGCCGGATAGGATCCGTAACAGGGGGCTGTTACAAGTGACCTGACCAGACACAAGCAGCTTTGAGAGTCACTGCAGAGCAAGAAAGGGGTCATGGGGACCCCGAAGCGGTGGGTTTTCAGCCACACCTGAGAACCAACCACCCCTCTTGCATCTCTCCGCTGACTCACCAGCACTCCGGCCTCTAGTCAAGCCTCCTCAGTCCCCCCTCGCCACGGTTCCCATCTCCAGGCCTTTGCACTTGCTGTTCCCCTGCCTGGACCACCAGGAGCCCTTTCTACAGCACAACATTGGAGCCACCCACAGCTCCCTCAGGATCGGGCACATCCCTGTACCACATTCAATGCTCCTGGTCCCTGACAGCTCAACCCAGCCCCTACACAGGTCCCTGAGCCACGAGAAGCATACCATGCCCACAGGCTCACCCTGGTCTGCTTGCACAGGCTGCAGCATCAGATGCTTTTTTTTTCTTTCTTTTTTTTTTTTTTTTTT